GCAGTAGCCAGGCTGCTGAGAGTTGAGCGTGACTGATGTGCAGATAGCAGGCTATGTGTGGAGAATGATAAACGTGCTGGGGGGGAGGGAAGATGAGTGCACGCGTGAAAGAGAACTTGCTTTCCATTGCCTGACTTTGCAGCACACCCCCTCTTTCAAGGTTATCGCCTCTCTCCCCATATTCGATTACACTTGACAGTGATGAGTGCCGCAGCAAGATGAGACACACTTATTTTGCTGAACAATCCCAGAGGACTTTGAAAGACAGAACAATCCCCCAGCCAAGGAACGACTTAGGTCTCCAGGATACAAGCTGGGCATTTTTTTTTTTTCTTTAGAAACAGAGGTTCAAAGCAGCTGAGGTTATTTGTAGACTGAGGTCAAACCCAGCAAATATCCAGATTGTCAGTTTTAAGGGATGACTTTATATTTATCCAAAAGTCCTGCTGCACCAATATAAAGTATTTGCAGGACCAATCCTTCCTGGGACTTCTTCTTTCAGTGACCCACTCCAGTCACCAACTACACATAAGGTTCCCCAAGGGTGACCAAGAGACACAGACAGACAATGCAGGACAAACACAAGGCTCTGGCAGGCAAGGGCTCAGAGGTTCCTCTGGGAGCCCCTGGCCCTGGCTGCACCCTGACAGTTTTCCTCTGTAGGTTTTGAGTTAGCAAAGGGACATTTGCTAACTCAAATTAGCTAGCTCATTTGCTAAAGAGCCCCCTTTCTCTCTCCCTGAGGCTGTGAAAATTTTGCACAATTGTTGTTGGACTGTTAGGGAAAGATTCTGAGGCCCATTCCCAAATCCTTTCTGTGTCTTAGCATTTGAAAATACTCCTCATACAAAAGAATGGGGTAACTTCTTTCTCCAAACTTCCTGCTTACATCATTCCGTGAAGGGAGGATGAGCAAGACTAATTAAAGATGTTAAATTAATTGTAATAGTTGGTCACTTTAATGAAAAACCCCATATTAAAACACAAGTGGTTATTTCATTTACTGTGTTCCTGACTTTTTTCCCATGAAAGCATTAATCATTTTGCAAATCAAAATATGTGTACATGTATATACATTTATATAAGTTTATGTATACACATACAACAGAGGGCAGGTTTAAATTTGATATTGGGAGGAAATTCCTTGCAGTGAGAGTGCTGGGATACTGGAACGGGTTGCTCAGATAAGTTGTGGATGCCCCATAACTGGTCTGTTCAAAACCAGGTTGAATGGAGTTCTGAGCAATCTGGTCTAGTGTAAGGTGTCCCTGGCCATGGCAGGGGACTTGGATATATATGATCTTTAAGAGCCTTTCCACCCTAATCCATTCTGTGATTCTGTGAAATTTAGTAAAATTTCTAAATTCTCAAGAGTTTGTTACACTCCATAGCAATTTGTTTCAGGGAAGCCAACTGTCTTTAAGTGTTATGTTTTATTTTCTGGGAAATTTTCCAACTACTAACGTCTGGTCATTTTATATCTAGATTTGAGGTGATGAGGGTATTTATAACAAGGATTTAAAACATTATGCTGAAAGAAGGTAACACTAATAGACACTGAACTTTCAAAAGCTCCTATTGTTCAAGCGTTGTGGCTCTTTTAACATGTTTTACCCAAGTTCATTATAGATGCATTCTTCACAGACTCTTAGAAAATACTTTAAGTTTCCTGGCAGTATTTCTGTGGCAATGCCTGTTATTCATCCAAGCTGAACTGGAATGTACTGGAGTATCTAATCCTTGTTCTGTTTGGTGCAATAAGAATATTGTCTGCATAAAGTTACCAACAAACTGTTCAATGACCAACTGAGCACTGGGATCAATCTTGCCCTAGACTATTGATTTCTTGAGGTCAGGATTGAAGGCACTTGAGACAGAATATTGTCTCAAGTGTCTCATGCTCAGACTCAGGTGTTTATTATTTCTTATCTATGTTACAGTCTCACTACTGTGAATTCAGCAGCTTTTTCATTAGCAAAGCACAAAATGGCTAACTAACTCTTCTTAAAATGTTTTTAAAAATAATTATCCAATTTAGAAAGGACACCTAGATAATTTTCCCTTTTAACCCAGTAACTCATCCCCTGAAGTCAGCAATGCGGACTTTTCTGTCCAGTCACAAAGCATCACTCAAACCCATGACAAAGAAGGAAGAAGGTAAAGAACAACCTGTCTCCACCCTAAAACCTCCATCTTGCTTCATATTTATTTCTATATTCTAAAATCCCAAACTCTAAGTTTTCCACCCTGTGATATTACACACTTCCAACCAACTATTCCCCCATAATCCCAGTGCTATTAATCAATTTTAAAAGCCTGTTCCATGACCTCAGGTTAAATGCAGTGTTCTTTTGTGGGTCTATGCCTTTAAGCATGGAAAGTTTAAAATTCTCAGCATCCAGGGATTCCAACACTAGATTTTTGCTTTTACCTCTTGGCACACCAAATTTGCAAATATCTGTTTCATTGGATTCTTTCTCTTACCTTATGGGATGTAAACCTCACACAATTTAGAATTAATTCTAAAATATTAATTTCAAATCCCATAAAAGACCAAGGCCAAAGGCTTCAGTCACATGACTGCTGAAATTCAAAGTTGAGACTTGACTGTACTTTCTTTCCCTGCTGCTGCTGAGGTTATTGTTAGCAATAATTTTACTGAGAAAAGAAGGTGGAATAAAATAACCTTCAAAAAGAGAAAGAATGAGTGGTTAAATAGCAGTGTTCTGCAAGATATACTTAGAATCAACCATTTTACTGTTTCCTCAGCCACACTGGTGATCATAAATCCTGTATCTTTCTCCAAGCTCAGTGGCTGTACCAGCCCTTCATCCTGAGAAATGTCATGTGTCCTGTACAGGACTTCACAATAGGATTATGGATTCAGGAGAAAGCTCTGCTCAAAGAGGGGCAGGAAATCAAAGGACATTTGTTTGGTACAGCACACCAGTGTGTGCAAAGGGAAAAACAAGTCTTGAAGACAGGGAAATGGAAAAGGAGGTAGAAAAAAAAAGGAATTATTTGTTGCTCATGACAGATATTTTTTTTATTAAGGTGTTCTTCTGCCTTGACTTACTTTCATTTGGTAACTGGAACTGTAATTCCATTGGGCTAATTTGGAATTGACCACCAACATCTGGAAAAACACTTTTCAATCTGCAAGATTCACAGGCAAAAGAGATATGCACACAGAGCTGATAAGTATTTTGTCTCTCTAACCTCCCAATTGTATGTCTGGTAATGGCTAAAGCAAAATCTGCAAATGAAGTAATGTTTTCTATCATGTCAACTCACTGAGAAAAAAGGTACATTTCTCATAAGAAATGCAGTGGTCATTTTCCCTTCCTCATATATGGAGGTATGGAGGTCCTGACATATAATCACTGCACATTTGCACTTGGTTCAAACTCACCAGTCTTCTTCTAGGACATAATGGAGTTTGAGGGGAAGAATTTGTTAATCAAAAGGTCTCAAAATGGAAAAACTGTTCCAGAATTTTGCAATGGCCTCTCTGCTCTGGGAAAAAAAAACAAAAAAAAAAAAAAAAAAAAAAAAAAAAAAAAAAAACACAAAAAAAAAAAAAAAAAAAAAAAAAAAAAACAAAAAAAAACCCAAAAAAAACCACAAAAAAAACCCCACACACACACAAAAAAGAACCCCAACAAATGAAACCAAACAAACAGCCCCATCTCCCCCTAAACACCACAAAACCAAACAGAATAAAGAAAAGCCAAACATTTTGTCACCATTGGTTAAAACAAATGGGAACAGGAGTAGGGATGCAGTTACAAGATGCTGTGGTTACAGGAGTCCCTCTACTACTGAAGAAATGAAGAGTCGTGAGCCACAAACCTCTGCTCTATATCTGCACCTTGCAGCAGTTAGAAGCAGTGAGTGAGAGATTCCAGAACTTTCATTTGTGTTTTGAATTCAGGGTCAATCCAGAGGCATTAATCATTGCCTTTCAAGAAGCAAGACTTTTTTTTTTTTGTAGTGAGAGGAAGATGCTACTGTTAAGTTTGCCCCTGGGTTGCTGTGAGGATCTGCCTCCTTAAACAGGCGAGTTCCTGTACATTGCAAAATGATCAAAACTTAGTGGGAGCAGTAAACCTAAATCTCCTGACAGCGGATAAGTAGCAATTGTAAGGGGGAGCTTCTGAGCAAACCCACTCTGGCTGGGATGCAGGTGGGAATTCAAAAGCAGCACTTAATGTAGCCAGTTATCCTTCTATATCCTCTGACACGTTTGGTTTTTTTGCCAGGCTGGGAAGATGCAGAGTATGGGTAATATCACAGTTCACCTCTACCTCCACATCAGAGATGAAAGATTCAGTCTTCTGGGCAAACCAAATCAGCCAAAACCTGACTACTCAGAAGAATTTCCAACTGACAAATAGATCCGAGATCTCTCAGAATCCTAAAGCGTTCTTGGGCAAAAGACAAGATATGTTTCAAAATGCAGGACTGAATTTATACATGCAGTGCAATACTTCAGATATAATAGACTATTGGACCATGATATACACTTTTGTTTTGGTCTTTTCACAGACAGGATCCTAACGAAAGCATCTAAATACTTTAAATGGTGACATATTAAATATCTGTATATTAAATATACAGATACATGTGGATAATTTTATAACCATAATTACCTCTCTTCATAATTGTAATGGTTTGACATCAATGAAACTCCAAAACTGTATGTGGTTTTATATAGTAAATATATGGATACATATGGATGATTTTATAACCATATTTACATATCTTTATAATTGCCTTGGTTTGTGTGCACACACAAAAAAAAAATGTGATGTTTAACAGTCTTTCTCTCAAAATATCAAAGGTGAAACAAGATACGTAGTTTTTCACGTTCGTGTACTCCCCTTGGGGCAGTTCCTACACTCTTTTCTTAGGGCTGGAGCTCTAGACATAGCATCCAAGCACCAGGAGAGTAGCAGGTACTGCAGACTGACTCTAATCAGAGCCTTGTTCCCTTTTAAGAGAATTCAGTGGGTGTTCCAAATTGAAAGATTTTGCCTTAACTTGGTTTTATACGTATATTCACAAACACTGCTGCCTCAATCACTTTCAGTCTCAAGTGTGCATGACCAACTGGTAATTTCCTGCATTTATGACATTCCATGATCTTGCTTTGATGCTGCCAAAGTTTGTGACTACACAGAAAAGCAGTGGCAGGTTGAGAATGAATGACCCCTGGTAAGTTATTTTGAAATTGCCAGACTTTGCTCTGCAAGTTTAGTCTCTCATAGCAACGTGGGCAGCATATTCTGTTCTGGCTTCATTAAAAGAAAACGATTCCGTCTTTCAGTAAAAAAAAAAAGAAAAGCTGGAACTGTTGAAGCAGCATGCACCTAATAAGCGACTTCTAAATCTGGCTCCATCATTTTGGTCTGTGGACTAGCAGAACGGAGCTTGCAGAATCCTCCTCAAGTAAGTATTTCTTTCTCTTTACTGCACGTTTGTTTTTTTTTTAATTTAAAATTCATAAAAGGTAGCAAAGAAGTCTTCAGCCTTGAATTAGTGGTGCTGCAATATGACAACTGGATGCCTGCTTTAAATATGAATTAACATGCTCTGTTGTTTCATTTGGCAGACATTACTGTCTTTAAAAGGGAATAGTTAATGCACTAAGGTACAAGAGAGCAAATTATATGGATGGAGCTTCCTAAAGCTGCAATGCTGGAAAGCTAATGAAATGATTTATAACTGATTGTCATGGTAGGGTTTTTTTAAATGAGGTATGTATCTTTTGTTTGCATAATGCACATCATGGAACATGTCTATTTGATGTCATCAAAACTGGAATATCTATTCTGAATATGTATTCTGAATGTGCTACTGACCATTAAGTATGAAATTATCAAAATAATTTATATCTTCAAGAAAGAAAAATTCAGGCAGTGGCAGTAATCTCAATAAAGTTTATATATACACATTAAACCTAGCTCAGGTTTGTATTAAATGATGAAGGAAAATATATGTAGTACATTACTTTGTCCAATTATACAAAGTATTAGTCAAACATTGATAAACCCATCAGAGTATAGATGAAAAAATTGTTTGCATGAGAAACAACAGAAATGCATGACATTTGCTAAAATAAACAGCACATACTGGAGCATGCTTTCTGCAGGAGTATTTAAACAGCTCTGATGGACATGTCTCTTTAATATAATGAATGAGGTGGGACTACAGGCGTGGAAGGAAAATAAATAACAATATTTTGCTACGTGTTTAAATTGCAACTGTTGTAATAGAAAGGGGTTAGGAACAGGAAATGCACAGGGCTACTTTTACATTTGGTATGCAAACACACACATATCCAAATACAAACAGACCTTTTTTTTTTTTTTTTCCTTACTTAGTCATACCTGCTTATCACCAGTTCTTGTGACATGCAACTCTGATTGAAAACATGCAGGTTTGCAGCCCTCAGCAGAAATATATTATAGCTGCATCTGAGGCATAACAGCACCAGAACCAATATTCTGGAAACATTTAGCACAAGTATATACTATACCTCCAAGTAGTATTATTTGTCATAGTTTTTACGTATGCAAAATTGTGCTGCAAAAAAAATCACACTGTTTAGTTAAGTTCTGAAGAAAACTATGTAAAAACTTCCCTCCTGCTCAAGTTATCCATCCCTCAACAATCCATGGTAACAGCAGTCAAGATTAAAATTGCCACTTATTATTATTAAATTGACACTTATTTCTCTCAGTTATTTTTAAATTACTCAGAATAAGGAATTTTAAAACATACTTCCAGTCCAACTCATTTATATGCAGGCAAGCTTTTTTTAAGGAAACTTTTCAGAATGTGTTGAAGCATGGAACTGGAACAACCATTTCCTTATTTACTGTGTAATAGACAAAGAAGGTTTTTGGCAGATTATGTATATGCAGAGATAAAGAATGGAAACTGAGATAACAAAATTACTGTGTTCTAGGTATGGTAAACAATAATATATCCTTCCTTTTGCAAGCAAAAGGAAGCAACATTAAACTTCCCAGGGGCCAACTCTGAAGAGCCTGATAAATTAGAAACCAATAATGGAGAGGTTTAGTCTGACATTTCAGAACCCTTCTCAAAATCTCAGGAAAACACAGAATAGTAATAACAAGACCAGTAAATAGTGATATTTATGGTACCATCCCCACAAGACTAAAGGAGACATCAGTGAGCCACTAGCAAGCTCAGGCCATTTCCATAGCTGTCACACTTTCTCAACTAAAGGAAGCAATCCTTGATAAATATTTCTGAGGCAGACTAGAAGGGTGAGGGAAAGATAGAGAACTGCCTTCAAGAAGTCTTTAAAGGGAAATGGTGACTTCATGATAGAGAGGATTGCCCAGATCAAAAGGCTTATTCCTTCCTTATACTTTGTGATTTCCTAATCCTGCAAAAGAATGATCCTAATGAAATCCAGCAAACCTAGTACAGGTCTATTGCTTTTATGAAGTCAAAGTCCCTATGTGGGGGCCAGGATTTTACCTACTACAAAGAAGTGTGAATTTTTGTATTATGCTCTGGAACAACCTGGTCTAACGCATAATTCACTAATTTGGATAAGCTCATTGGATGAAGGGAAAAAAAAAAAAGAAGAAGAGAATATCATAGCAACATCTTATTCCTTTGTGGTTTATCCATTTAACAAAGACTTATCTTCCAGTCTTAAACTCCCCTCTATATTTAACATTTAATTATCAGAATTGCATATTCCTCCAGATATAAAAGAAAGATGACAAGAAAAACTCTGTAGTACTGAAAGATCTCTTCAATATTCCTTGAAGCATCAATGGGAGGGACTTCTGGTAGCCTTAGTTCACCATTTTTGTGGTATCAGATCAGAAAAAAACATTATATGGCTTCAGAGACATCAAGACCTTGCAGATTGAGGCATCCAGCATAAATTAGGAATAGATTAAAGTAAAATAAACTTGTATATAAAATATATTAATTTTAAAATGTAGCATATTTAATGAGTGGGAAATAATTTCATTCCACCTGAAGAAAAAGGCAGTGTATTTTTATCCTAAACCTGATTTTGCATGACAAACTGATTCCATTCCTCTCATTCTTCCTCTCTACTGTCTTAAATTTTCTCATGCTTTTTTCCCCTCTTCTTAATGATGGTAATGATGACAATAATAATGGTGATGATGATGATAATAATAATAATCATTATGATTATGATTATTGTTGGGAAAAAAGAAGAGATAAAAGAGAGAGGAAAATGAGGGAAATGGTATACCTAATTTGGGAAGCTCCATGACACTGCCAGACTACCTCAAAGAAGGGCATGTTTAAAGACTAGGCTCAAAGGATTTGACACTTTCCTAAAAAATACATATTTTCAAGGAGCAGTGGAAGAAATTAAGACTTCTCATCTGTGTATTCTCAGAAGGATCAATTATTTTGCATCTTTTCACCAAGCAACTACAAAGTGAACTGGAGACACAGAATCCAGTGCTAGTGTAATGCAGATGACCTACAGCTCTACCCATCCCACAGCACGGCTGCAAAAACGCTACAGCGTGTGAAGAAGAGCTCATGGAGCAGCTGGCTAAAGCAGAAACTGGGCAAGAAAAAGATGATGTTGGCAGAGGATAGAGAGCATTTTGAGGACTCATTCTCAGTCAAGGTACGCAGTCGCGGTTGGTCACTTAAACACAAATCTGATATGCAATGTATTCTGTTATAACTGTTATTCACAGATGCTATTAACCTCTTCCCGCTAGGAAGCTCTATCTCTCTTGGATGAGAACAAAAACTTCTCAGGCAGATGATATCACAAGTTTTTTAGTGCTAAGAAGTTCCAACATGAAGGAAAAGCTATAGCGTTTATGCTCGAAGCTTGGCCTAACTAGACCACTAATCCATTCCTCACACTGTAGATCAGCCTCGTATCATTTTGTATTCCTCTCTTCCAGGCAGTCCATTGTCTGGACTGTGGATAAATAAAAGATCACTTAAAACACTTGGAAAAAAATACAGTCTGCAGCTTCCTTTTTCTGGCTTTTCTCAGCAAGAAAATTTCTCTTCATGGGAGAGAAAAAGGCCTTTGGTAACTAAGGGTAGCCAAATGTCATTAGCTGTTGCCACAAGTGCCTTGTGTATATCTTTGAAAAACTTTAAAAATGTGCACAGTAACCTGTGTCCATGGTGCCATTTTATACTGCTAGGGAGCAGCCAGCATCTTCCAAGTGATACTAATTTGGCTGCTTGCTCAGTAATGGAAGATGCTCTGACAGGATGATATTGAGTGCAGTAAGGGCCTGTGTCCAATTGAATGTTGTGCTGGAATTGAAAAAAAATTTGATGTATTAAAACATTTTGTGCTTGCATTTTTCTCCTTAATTTTTAATTTATTTTTAAAGCTGTAAATATAGCTTGCCTTTTAGTTGGGTGACTGTCTCTAATTTTACTGCAGCTGTAGCATTTGCCAGGGAGCAGTGGCTCTGCTTTCAGGGTGGTGCAGGATTTATACCAAAAAGCCATCCCTTTAATGCTCAGGATTTCTTCCAGGGCTATCACAGCTCTGTCTGGTATACAGCTATAAATTAAATGAATCAGACTTAAGGATATTGACAAGAAAGATGACACAGCAATTTGTTGCCTTTAGTTTAGTCACTCTGTAGTTGTAAAACAGATAAATGTTTTACTCATCATGGTGGAGAGGTTGATTAATGAGAATTTAGAGCAATTTAGATCCATTATATCTTTAGATTTAGATTCAAGGCTGAATGCAGACACTGTCCACCATGCAGATTCCTGCACAGAAACAGAATTCTCTGTTCTTTAAGACACCACAGTAGCTCTTCACCTTCTTTTCATGCCAACAAAGCCTACCATTTGTTAAGCAACCAGACTGATTTAATGGTGGCAGTACTGGTCCAATTTTCTGTTTGTCATAAGATGTTACAAATCTACCAACAACTGATAAAGAAAGGAAAAATCCATTTTAACTTGTTCCCATAAGCAGTCATGCATTAAAATAAAATAACTGGATTTTCATTCTACTGGTCCTGAAGACAGCTAGATCTTACAGACTCCAAGCAACTGTCTGCTTAAATTCTCCTTAGGGCTGAAACACTTTCAAGCAGAATCTAGTGAGGTAAAACCAATACATACAACACTGAGTACATCTCCACTCCATTAGAAAAGTTTTGTTCCAAAAGGAAACAGAAATAGTGAAAGTAATATTTAATGAAACTGAATTTTTGCTATGTGAGGTCTAGCATCCTAGAAATAGATATTATTCACATTAATTTAAAAATGTGGTAGAGTTTCTGGAGAGCAACTAAATAGATTTATGCTGAGAAGAATTTAAGGAAACACTGTCTTGATGATGAAACTGGTGTAGGCAACCTTCCTTATATTAAAAGCAAATTTGCATTTGACAACCATTACAAAAAAAAAACAGGAAAGGAAACCATCAGTAGGAAAGAAATGCAGAGAGGAACATCTGTATTATTTAAAGGGGTAAACTGAAGTGCAAAACTGAAAAGTCCATAAAACACTTCAAAATTAAATGCATTAAGTGTGAAGAGGACTGAACAAGATGTGATAAAATTTTCATTTAAGGCAGGAGGGAAGAGTACATCTGAGCAAGAATGGGCACTGGCAGAGTTGGGATATAGCTATTTTAAGAGTGGAGTATCTGCTGAAGGATGTACATATCTTTAGGGCAAACTGAGAACTTTGAACTGAATGCCATTCCTACAAATTCTAGTGAGTTTGACTCTGGTGTTTAGGCAATATTTCTGAATAAATGAAAAGTTGAGTGAGAACTAGGAACACAAATACAAGAAATACACAGCTTTATAATGAAAAACTCATTCTTTGCTTCAACAGGAACAGCACAAACAACAGTGTTATTATTCATCCAAAATCTTGGAGTCTACTCACTGTGGCTCTGAAGCCAGACCTAATTGCAATTAAAATAAACCTCAATATTGTTTAAAATTCAGATTCACTTTTTTTTTTTATATAATAATTTTAAAGTTTCTCATTAATCTCAAAATATTAAAAAAAATTTATATGTATTTGGATTTTTTATTGTAGATAATTTGCTGAAGATATTCTTGTTCATGTATCAAGACATACTTTTAGATATAGAAAAACTTATTGCTAAAACTGTTGAATATTGTCTACTTTGGCTCAAAAGTGATCATATCTTCCAGAGCTCTACACAAAAAACTTATAGTTGTCATAACAACATCCTGCAGCAGATAGAAGATAGCTTTTACTTGCTTTTAATGCAATTAGCAAAAGTTAATATCTCCTGATGATTAAAAACCAGAGCTATTATTTAAAAGAGAGGGTGGACTTTATATTTTTCAAATTTTTAGTTCCCACAAAATTCAGCTTTTAATTTGAAATCTTCAGTCAATGGTCTGTATAAATATTCCATTGCATCAAGTCATATTTGCAGGTAACAGTTATGCTCCATGTTTATACAAAATATGCAGATTTCTAACAATGTCTTTGTAAAATGACACTCAGAATATAAAGAAGTCTTAATTTAGAAAAGTACTGATGTTTTCCTAAGGAACAAGTTTTCTAGACAAATTTCTGAATGCGTCAATCTTGTCAAATGCAATACTAAGTCATTATGAAAGTCCCATTTAAGCTATGATCTTAACTATCATTCCTTTAAAGGTGTACCAGATTCAACAGGCAGTTCATCAGGAGAGGATCAGTGTCACTCTGTTTATGTTCTTATATTAACACTAAAATAGAATATAACATCTTAGCCACTGCAACACACAAATTGTATCCACTTGAGTCCCTAGAAATGAGGGACTTATGAGCAAGTCTTGATGGTATCTGGAGATATTCCTATGATCAGGGTCACATTATGCAAGATTGGGTATCACAGAAGTGCACAAAAAGATACAGTCCTTTCCTAATTTAAGGAATACAGTCCCTTCCTAATTTAAAGACCAGTTAATGGCAGGTACAGACCAAAGTGCAGGTGTTGATCTAAGGTGAATGAACTAGATAATGGCAGAGCTGTTGATAAAGGACAATCTTATTTTCAGTGAAGTCTGTCACTTAGGTCAGACAGTCTTCACTTGATTTGCGCAGACATACTGTTTTATTCCAACAATGGTGCCCACTATTTCTAGAATAGGGCAAAATTAATGCATAGCTTCTTCTCTTAAGATTATTTTAATGTTAACATGACTGTTTAGAAGAATTTAGTCATCTGGCAAGCATCCACCTAGCTGAGGCATATTGTAGTAATTTGAGCTCTCTGAAGTTATTTATTTCAAGAGTACAGCCCAGACTACAGCAGCAAAGTATTGCCATTCACAGAGATACCTGCTTGCATTGTTACAGGAAATTCCCTATATCCACAATGTCTTCAAAGCAATTTAATTATATAAGGTAAAATAATGTGAACACTTCAAAAAATAAGTCACTTAACATATGAAAAATAAATCACAAACATCAATTATTAAAAAATTCAAGATATCAAACATTCCTATTTTAAGCATATTTTGCTTTAATATTCGGCTACTCTATTTGTACACATAATGGAAATAATTTCTGCAATTCAGCTAGTCTCTAGAGAATGTTTATGTGAATTTACTTAAGAGCGAGAACACTGAATAGTTACTGTTACTACAAACTTTGATAGCATCTGTTCTGACCGAGATTCAAAGAGATTGATGTGAAAAGACCTGTATCATTTAAGTAAGAAGAATTATATTCAATTTTGAGGCTGTGGATAATTTTTTTCTTAGTAATCAGATATGTTTGTGTCATATGTCTAGAGTTATTAAGCAGAAATCACCTGAAAAAAGAGAAGCAGCAGTATATGCAGTATGACACCCAGTAATGTTATGTACCTTACCTAAATTACCTATAACCATTTATCTATATCTATACCTATACATATATTTTACTGCTATGCAAATAATATCTCTCTGAACAAAAGACCTCTTTTCTGACAATAAAAGAGAATTATATGATCCATTTTTATTGGCTGTACCACAGACTGTTAAAATTCATACCTCAAAATTTGCATATAAGAAATGGATAGGTTGTAGTTAACATAGCTTTATTCATGTACAAAGAAGCCCAATCTCTCATGAATAAAACAACTCTTGTCCAAATAGCTACAGCTTCTGGCTCAACAGTGAGGTTTTCTTTGTTTCTGAAGCAGGTATTATTAATAAAGTCCATTAAAACTGCAGAACTCGCACTTTGCCAAGCTCTAATGGATCTCTAAGGCAAAAGACCTAAGATGGATTAGCACAGATCCTGTGTATTTCAGAATCCTGTTTGCTTCAAGAGTCACATTAAGTTCGTACAAGTCTGTTGGACATACTGAAAAATCCCTAAATTCTGGCTTTCCAAGAAGAGAGTAGTGTTGTATTGTTCCCTGACTGCTTTGAAAAGGGCATGAAAGTCTTTTTGTTGATGATTAAAAGCATTTGCCAGTCCTTTAAAGTGCTATCATTCACCTTCAAGTGACAGAGGCATAAATTCATCTAAAACAAGACACTGTGAGCAAGATTTATGCATTTTTATCCCCATTATCTCTGTGATCAGGATAATGTTTGTAGTATGCAATGGGATGGCACAGTCCCATAGAAATATGGAAGCATTTCAAAAAGTAATTCCAGTAAA